GGAGTTTCACCGACTCATCAGGAGGCTGAACCCTCAACAGTCTGCAGAATCCCCTCACTGATTACACTGTAAATGATAATCTACCTTAACCAAAATCAAAGTAGACTATAACTCACCCACACCAGATAAAAAATTTAAAGACTGTCGGTTCACACCCCATCACTAGCCAGCAAAACATCCACGAAACAAAGAAAGGTCTGTCACAGCCAAAAAATACACTCCAGACACGCCGCTGGCACTAGAGGCATATGTATATATCGTCAAATAGAACTGCCCGGTAACCCGTAGGCAGAGAGGGAGAAGAGGACAACAAACGAGGGGCTGTGACAAACTGTTTCGTCGGAGTTTCACCGACTCATCAGTAGGCATATATATATATATATATATATATGTTTGTCACAGCCCCTCGTTTGTTGTCCTCTTTTCTCTCTCTGCCTACGGTTTACCGGGCAGTTCTGCTTGTGACGATATATCGTCACAAGCAGAACTGCCCGGTAAACCGTAGGCAGAGAGAGAAAAGAGGACAACAAACGAGGGGCTCTGACAAACTGTTTCGTCGGAGTTTCACCGTATATCGGAGCGCAAAGGCGAAAAAAACAAAACAGAAAAAGGAAAGAAGTATGGAAGGAAAGCTCCGCCTGTTCATCAGCTCTTACGTACAAGGCCGGCCACGGGGATGATGGTTGAGCACCGGCTGCCCCCATCCCCGTGTGTCACAAGGACCCACTTGCACGCAGCCAAAAGGCAAAAAAGAGGTAAAGAAAAGGAGGAGGAAATCAAACCTCACTTGTAGGACAGATAAAGCTTTCGGCACTACCAACAGATACGGAGTTGAAGAAACGAACACAACAATCCAAATATAATTAAGAGAAAACGAAATGGAACCACAGACGGCCCGCAATATACAGACGCCATTCCACATCAGGGAGAAATGGCCGACAAAAGATAAAAGAAAAAAGAAACAAATAAAACAAAAGAAGGAAGGTAAAATCCGCCAAAAGGAAGAGCATGCATGCGCCTGCTAGTATATACGTACATATATATAGTCAAACATATATAGCAGAGAGTGTAAAAGCTCAATTAGAAGAATCAGGTGCAAAGGTAACTTTAAGATAATGTTTTGTGTTATATGTACATACATATCGTCACATGAATATCAGAGCGCAAAGGCGAAAAAAACAGAAGAGAACAAGAAAAAAAAAAAATTAAAAATTCGTTTTTTTATCATTTACAGTGTAATCAGTGAGGGGATTCTGCAGACTGTTGAGGGTTCAGCCTCCTGATGAGTCGGTGAAACTCCGACAAAACAGTTTGTCACAGCCCCTCGTTTGTTGTCTTCTTCTCTCTCTCTGCCTACGGTTTACCGGGCAGTTCTGTTTGTGACGATATATACAAACAGAACTGCCCGGTAAACCGTAGGCAGAGAGAGAGAAGAAGACAACAAACGAGGGGCTTATATATATATGTATATATACATACATATATATACATATATACATATATATATCGTCATATATATATATCTACCGACATTCAATCAAGGCAACGGAACTCGTCGTTTAGCCAGCGCTTCGTTGTCGAAGGTGGAACAAGAAAACAGGGAAGTCACCGCGGGGTTGGGGGCGGATTGGCAGAGAGGGGTGGGGGAGAAGCGCGTTGGCTTTCAGGGACATGGGCGACATGCTGCCACGTGGCAGGTGGCCGGGCAGAACGCAGATGGCGACAGAGAGAAACGGCGCAAGTTCTTGTGTGTGTGTGTGTGTGTGTGTGTGTGTGTGTGTGTGTGTGTGTGTGTGTGTTGTCATATTCGCTACGCTATACACTCAAAGAAAGCACGACTGTGCCAGACTGCTTCGTCGGACTTTCACCGACTCACCAGGAGGTCCTGGTTGAAGCCCGACAGTCTGCCCAGGCTGCATTTGACTGATACATAAGGACTCACCACATCGCCCAGAGTCAGCAAAATACCCATCCCTGAGAGAGAAAAGTGGTCGACTTTACTCACACCCTCCTTGCAATCCTAGCAGACTGCCGGTCCACACCCCTGACAAGAACGGCCGTAAGTCT